TTGGTTTGTCCACAGTTCCTTGAAAAATTGTTCCATATTAAAATTTTAGGCTGTTGAAGGGGAAGGTCTGAACTTTGACAACTGGTCCACCAAAGGGAGTTTTCCATCCATGTATCCCACTCTGATGCTGCTGGTGGACACTGTTTTGTATCTTTTGTTGGCTCTGTACTTTGATGCAGTGATTCCTGGTGAGTATGGTCAGCATAGGCCCCCCTACTTCATTTTTACACCATCCTTTTGGAAAAGTATCTGTAGCAAGAAGGAGCAACAGAAAGCACCTTCCAGACAGTTTTCTGCAAGAGTGGAGGAGGCATCTGAAGATATTGAGGCCATGCCAGCAGACTTACAGGGGAGTGAGGTTATAAGGTATTACAAACAAGTGTAATTATTGTAACAGTGCTTGAATGAGATAGAGAAAAACTGTCACTTGTGTTTATGTGCCAAATGAATTTTACTTTGTGACTGTACTCTGTTTCTGTATTTTTCTTCCAGCATTCACAAATTGAGAAAAGTTTACCATGGGAAAGAAGAGGTTGTTGCAGTTGATGGTAAGAGCTCTTAAACTAATCATCAGTCAGTTAGTCAGTGAGGCATCAGTCTGTCAGTTACCAGTCAGTCAGTCAGTCACCAGTCAGTCAGTCACCAGTCAGTCAGTCAATCAGCAGTCAGTAAGTCACCTGTCACCAGTCAGTCAGTTAGTTAATAACCAGCCAATCACCAGTCAGTCATCAGTCAGTCAGTTAGTCAGTCACCAGTCAGCCAGTCAGTCAGTCACCAGTCAGTAAGTCAGTCAGTCAGTCAGTTAGTCAGTCAGTTAGTCAGTCAGTCATTCAGTCATGAGATGGTCAGTCAGCTAAGCAGGATAGGAAGTAGTCATGTAGATAGACAGTTATCAGTCGATCATTCAAGAATCAGATTGTTATTTGACACAGTCAGTCAGTCAGTCCATCTGTCAGTAAGGCAAGTGAACATGAGATGTGCCAAATGTCAGTCATATAAATACATAAATAGACAAGCATTAGGTCAGTCACTTTTTGGTCAGCCAGTCAGCTGTTCACTCACATAGTTATAGTCAGTCAGTTTTGAAAGCATGTAAACTTCTAACAAATGCAGTTCTCCCTTTTAAATGGAACAGACAGAACTTTCTTCTATCTTTGAAGATTAACTCCTCAGGTTGAGACTCCTTAATGAAAACTTTTGTGTCTCACCTAAAGGGGTCAGCATGGATATATATGAAGGTCACGTGACTGCGCTGTTGGGTCACAATGGAGCAGGTAAAACAACTCTGATAGCCATGATGACAGGAATGGTTCCTGCTACTGAGGGTTATGCCACTGTCTACGGAAAGGACATCACTGACCCCAATCAGATGCAGGAAATAAGAAAAGGCATTGGTGAGAATGCAAATTAAGTGTATTTTTCCCTTTCT